TAAGGAGGGAAACAGACAATGGGATGTCCAAATGCTCTTGTAAGCCTGTGGAAGTTTTTGTCTCATTCTAGTGTCAGGAATTTGTGGATGGAATTATCTGGACTATTAGAATTGTTCCTTAATATTACCTCAGAATGTCTAGAGGCCCCTCCCCCGAACAAGTGCCTATGAGCTCCAGCAGCTCTCTGCTTCCTCTTCACTTTGGGCCTTTCTGCTTGCCATCTCCAGGTGGTTTTGCCATTTCTAAGGATTACCTCAGCCTCTGCTTTTATTTTTATTTTTTATGTAAAAATTTTAAAAAATATTTATTCATTCTTTTAGAGATAGGGTCTCGTTTTGTTGCTCAGGCCAGAGTGCAGTGGCATGATTGTGGCTCACTGTAGCCTTGACCTCCTGAGCTCAAGCCATCCTTCCACCTCAGTCTCTCAAAGTATTAGGATTACAAGAGGGAGCCACCATTTCTGGCCCAGCCTCTGCTTTTAAAGGGCTCTTAGGCCACGTGCTAGTTTTTAGTTTTTTAGCTTACTGTACCCAAAGCGGAGATGAGAGATCACAGGACAACTCTAGTGCCTTATGGCTAGGCCGAAAGAAACACGTAGTTTTTCCCAGGTAGTAGATAAGGCTCTGGCCATGGGAGTGTTGAGGACAGAGTTGTGGTAATTCTTTTTTCTTTTTGAGACGGAGTTTCACCCTTTTTGCCTAGGCTGGAGTGCAGTGACGTGATCTTGACTCACTGCAACCGTTGCCTCCTGGGTTCAAGTGATTCTCCTGCCTCAGCCTCCTGAGTAGCTGGGATTACAGGCACATGCCACCAGAGCCGGCTAATTTTGTATTTTTAGTAAAGATGGGGTTTCACTGTGTTGGTCAGGCTGGTCTTGAACTCCTGACCTCAGATGGTCCGCCTGTCTCGGCCTCCCAAAGTGTTGAGATTATCGGCGTGAGCCACTGTGCCTGGCCTCATTTTGTTCTTTTATCATCTCTGCCAGGTTCTAGGTTTGCATGGCATTGTGTTTTGCTTGAGATGAAAGATAATATTCTATAGGGAAATAAACCTCTGGTTATTTCTAGGTTTGAATAGTCATAATTCCTTATTCTGTAGCTGTTTATGTCTTACAAGGCACTTCTGTCTTTTCTCTTGAACCTCTTAACTTTGAGGTAGGTAGGATAGATTTGTCGGAGGAAATAAGTGGTAAGTTTCTTTTTATTTTTTTTTGAGACGGAGTTTTGCTCTTGTCACCCAGGCTGGAGTGCGGTGGCATGATCTTGGCTTACTACAACCTCCTTCTCTTTCTCCTGGGTTCAAGTGGTTCTCCTTCCTCAGCCTCCTGAGTAGCTGGGATTACAGGTGACTGCCACCACACCCGGGTAATTTTTGTATTTTTAGTAGAGACGTGGTTTCACCATGTTGGCCAGGCTGGTCTTGAACTCCTGACGTTGGGTGATCCACCCATCTGGGCTTCCTAAAGTGTTGGGATTACACCACCATCGAGGCCACTGTGCGTGGCCAGTTTCTTTCCTTTTTTTTTTTTTTTCTTTTTTTTTTTTTCTTGTTGTTCTGGGTGGAAAAGCGGGCAGTCCTTGAGCGGTGTCACCCAAGGCTGGAGTAAACCGGTTGGTGCTCACCCTTGGCTCACTGGCAACCTCCACCTTCCCCCAGGTTCAAGGTGAATTCTCCTGGCCTCAAAGCCGTCCCCGAGTAAAGCTGGGATTATCAGGTGTGGCACCACCACACCCTTGGCCTAAATTTTTGTAATTTTTAGGAGCAGCGGGGGTTTCACCCACCATTCGGTCATGGACTGGTCCTGAACTCCCCTGATCTCATGAGGCCACCGCACCCTGCCTAAAATGGTAAGTTTCCTAAATAACAAAGTCAGTATATGCCTTGAGACAGGCATGAATTCTTAATTAGGGGAATCCGCCTTTTGCTGCTGTGCCACCGCTTCTGCACTTCCTACCTTACGGGATTGTATTTTTTCCCATTATCACTGAGGTTTGGTGTCATTGTCTCAAATCCAGGAAATGTCCTTGTTCTGTAAGGAGCAGCTAGAATGGCCATCTCCCCAGTAACGAAAAGTTCTAAAAATAGAGGACGCCTTGTTTGGAGATTTATTAAGAATGTTTCTTAATCTAGTATGTCATCCCGCGGTATGCTCTTTGTCTTAAACTGATGTGACAGATAGCACTCCCCTGGTACTTGGATGGGGCTATCCTGAGAGGTAGCCACAGGTAGAGAATGGAGGCTAAGCTCTGAACCGCTACTTCCCTAGGGGCCAGGCTTCTCCCCAATCTCAGATTCGTGCCTGTGCTTTGTGCTTGTGAGTGTGGAACTTGAGAATTCTCCTCCACTCCCCTTCGACTACCCGCATGAATTTATCCCGTACTGTGTGGTGGATTAAGTTACATAATTTTTGAGAACGGCAAGCATCCTGTCTTCTCCCAACCTCTACCACAGCTCTCGATCAATAATGAGAGCTCAGGTTACCTGCTTAGCCAGACGCCTGTAGCGGCAGTAATGTGCAAAGCTTCATGCCCTTATAGGTGAGAAAGCCAGATATTTCCGCTGTAAGCCAGTCCTGCTTCTGTACAAGAAGCCCAGGTATAGGTATGACGCTCCTTCCCTTAAAGAGGAAAAGTGGAGGAGTTAATGTGGTGGGACAGGGGGATGGGCCATGAACCAGCCAACTTGGCTAGTTTCTATTGGCCATAACCTCGATGGCTTCACACCAGGGTCCAATGTCCTCTGCCTTCTAAGCTTAAGTTTTAGTCATTTTGACCACGTCCCTGCCTTAAACGTTGACTTTTCCAGGATATGATTGTGAGCAAAGGGGCATTCGAAGAGCTGCGGATTCTGGTCGCTTGACCTCTAACACACTTTGAGTGGCAAGCCATGTAAACAATCATGAAGCATGTTGTGTGTCCAATCTGGTATAAATGAGAATTACGATTCTTATGGCTGCTATCACAGATTGAAGGCAAATTGAGTCGGTACTGAGAGCTGTTTGAAATGGGGAAGTCTGTGAAAAAGCAAAAAGAGATCAATATTGGAGCAAATTTGTGACTGCTTTGCTTGTTGCAGTCTAACCTCCTCTTGCCTTAATTGGAGACATGGGGCTGAGAGATGGGTCATACCAAAACGTGAGTGGTATTCCAGTGTTTGAAGAGTTTAGGCTTCAACAAGTGGCTAAGGCTTCAAATAAGCTGTTTGGTGAGCTGGTTTGAGAACATTGAAGAATGAGTGATCTAGGAACCCTTTCTGCATTTTGTTCTGCTGGTTTGGGTAACTTGACAAGGAAGATGTGAAGATTTTATCCTGTGTTGCAGTTCATCATCTCTCCTCCTGCTCACCAAAGGAAGTTGGGTCAGGTGGCCATGGTTGTAAAGGGGAAGAAATGGGAAGAAGGATGTAGGCAAAGATGACTGTTTTGGGACAGATCAGAAGCTTGTTGTTATGGACTTACATTTTATGAACACAAACTCCTGGAGAGGAGGGTTTTGGAGGCCCTGAGGTAGCTGCAACAGCGGTGCTGCGTGTGGTGTCCAGTTGGGACCGCATCAGGCTAACATTGCCCTGCCCCCTAAAAATGCTAACCCCCTCTGGTCTGCTGCTTATCGACTAACCGCGTTTTGTTCCTGGAGAAAGGAACAGATGCCAAAGCCGCCAAATCAGCGCAGGCTCAACGGCAA